GCCAGTATATATTTTAAAAAGCAGACAAATCGGCCCGTAAATACGTTAAATATAAAACTTTTATTTTTTTTGTCGTGGTGGACCTTCCGCTGGAAACACCCATATGCGTGAAATTCAATGTAATTTACAAGTCGATAAAAGTTTAATTAAAGTGATTTATATACAAGATAAAATAAAAGAAAAGTGTGTAAAGTATTAAGTACAGTGTTATGTGCATTTATATATATAAAAGTATGCACAAATGCTTTTTTGTTAAGGAAACCAAGTGGAACGACTTAAGAAATTTTAACAACAAATAACTTATAAACAATGATATTATTTATATTTTTTAGTTATACATGTTTTAGAGGATACCTCCCTTAACATCCTGACCAAGTTTCATTTGTTAATTCCACCTGGTTTTCTTAAAACACAAGTTGCGGCTGACTACTAAAGTTCTGAACACATTGAAAACGACGAACTACGGACCACAGCTTCCAATTTGTCATCTTCATTATCTAAACGCGTTGTCGATGGCGACATGCTTTTTTTGAACGCGGCAGCGACATCATGAATTTGTATGAGTTTGACATAAAAGAAGAGGAAGAAAAATAGAAATATATCTAATCTGGCCACAACCACAGCCGTCGCGTAGCCCGGTCGTCGCCAAAATAATTATCTACATAAAGCGAAGCGCACATTGGCGCGATTCTGTCGTTGCGAATCCGCAAGCCCAAAAATTACAACAATGCTACCCATACATTTTAATGCGCTAGCGCACACTTGCACGATTCCGTCGCTGCGAATTTTTCGAACATTCAATGTTCCTCTCTATTGACGCGTTCGAAACGCGGCTTGCAGCGTTTTGAAGGCGTCAAAGAAGAAGAAGAAAGGTGTCACAGCAATAAAGGCAAAGAAAAAAAACGTGTAATGTACAAAAACTAATAAAAACGTTCGTAATAATAGTATTTTGTACGATTTGGGCACGCCGAGTGCGAAAATACACGAAATAAAGGGAAAATTGAGTGAATTGTACATCGGAAATCGACGCGAAAAAATCGCTCAAGTGTGCGCACGTTTGCGGATTCGAAGTTAACAGCCGAATTCGCAACGTATTCGCAACGATGGAATCGCGCTAATGTGCGCTTCGCTTAAGAGTACGTGTTAAAATGATTTGACAGCTGTGGTCCGTAGCTCGTCGTTTTCATTGTGTTCGGGCTATAAAGCCCACCCAATATCGGTATCGAATGCCAAAAGTATCGATATGGTATCGTATCGTATCGAAATTCGTGTCCCAAGTAAACAACGAAGAGAACGCAAAAAACTGCGTAATTGTTGAACGCATGAATAATCATTTTTATTATGCAAATTCTTCCATAAATCATGTCGTGTTAAATTATTCCTTACCTTACGCGTACACACGTTGCCACAAGCGGAAATTAAGAAAATTGCTGTAAAAAGCCACCACCAAATCGTAAACAACGAACAAATGTAAACAAACGCCTAATGTCAAAGTCGCCCAACTTTTTTCCTAAATGCGATTATAACTGGCTACTAAGGAGAAGGCGTGATCTTGTATTTTTGGTTCATGATTTATATCTACTGACGCATAGTGAAAAAAATCAAAACTCAAACTCACACATTCTTATTTTCAATCTCAAAAATTGTGAACAATTTAATTTTTTTATTTTTGTTATCGTGTTTTGCAGTATTCGACACATTATGAAATCAAATAATTTAAATTCAGCGGAGGATTCAACGAAAGCGTCGCATAGTAAATCATGCAAAAAGTCCACCAAATCGCGTACGAAATCTTCGAAAAGTGAGTCAACTAGTGGTAGTAATTCAAAAGGTTCTTCGGCCATCAATAATCAAAAAAACCTTTTGCCCAATGCAACTACACCCACTACGCCTACGAGTAATTTATGCAATTTATTTGATTTTCCCTTGAACGCGATTACAAATAGCGGAAGTGGGGCAAATAGTGCTGATACCAGTAACATTTCAAGGGTAAGCAACAATAAAAAAATAATAATGTTCCCAAGAGAGTCGGGGCTACGTAACCGGAACGACCCAGATTTGAATCTGGCCAAGGACTGTCACTCAAAAACCATTTCCCAATACTCTGGGGAACTGGTAATTTGTTATTACAACTGGATTTCAGAATAATAAAACTGTTCGTATCTAGAATCACTTCAAAAGTTATGCTGGTCTGGAAGGGCGCTCAGTGAAAATTATTTGGGAGCAATATGATCAAAGTGATTTGGAACTTTCTGCGGAAGTGAGTGCGCAAATCGCGGAGGATGTCTCATATAAGTTATGGGAATTAGTGAATGTATGTACATACTAAAGGCACTTAAAAGACCAACAAATATTAAGATATTTTTAGAATATAAAAACATATACGCGGCATTCGGGTGGCCAAGTTACGTATGATTTGGTAAATGAGGTATTGGCCACCGCAGACGCCCCTCCTGCATTGGGTGCACTCGATACCGAATGGGATCGCATTGACTATGACGACAGCTACTTTTTTTACTCGGTAAATATGGTCAACTTTCTGTTAAATAAATTATTAACATTTTTTTAGGATAGAATTATTGAGCTGCGTGAGGAGTACCAAAAAGAAGTGACTATAGAAATTTCAGATGGCCCTGATTACGAATGTACCTGCCCAATTGATGAAAAGCACATTGAGCTTATCAAAAAATGTATACCAAGTTTAATCAAAGGTAAAAAAAAATATTTGTCTAATATGTTAAATGAAAACTAGTATATACTGTAGTGAAAACGTTTCTATATCTTAGTTGTTCTGTATGGTGATGCGAATAAGATGGATAAAGCCCTCTCTTACGCCGTGTCCTCTCCTTTTTTCGGTTCTTGCTACCGTATTATCCTATCTAAACTCATACAAATTCTGGCTTTTAAACAAAATCAAGATATTTGCTTGCGTGGATGGCGCCTACTTCGTACTTGTGCATTTAATTCAAATGCACGTTTGCAAAACGTTCGTATGGAATTCTTTCATTTATCGGAGATACTTATCTCGCAGCTGCTCGCACCATACGAAAGTATAAAAGTCCAACCTTGTTCGAAACAAGAAGATCACGGGGTAGGCGTCAATATAAAAATAGAAGAAGTAAAGATGGAGGAAAAAATGGAACTCAATTCAGAGTTTACTGCTCAGTCGGATCAGTTTAGCATGCAAAGAACAAATTTGCATGAAGAAAAAACTTATAAATTGCAAAATGACGATGATTGCGAGGACTATGTTTCAATGGCATCAATAGCCTCCCCATATTTTGCCAGTCCTATTGATTGGAAGCATGTAGATGACCTGTGTGATACAATTGGCCATTTGGCAGCATCAAGTGGATATTTCCAAAATGAGTGTATAAATCATATTATAAGAAGGCTGCTCCGATTTTTTGATGGCCGCAGTGTTTCCACAGAGAGAGGTGATTTTCAACACTTAATGTTGATATTTTATACGGTTAGTATTGCTGTTTTGTATAGATTTCAGATATATAAGTCGGGCTGTGCGTGGTTTGATTGCCCTTGGGGAATATGCTTTTCGAGAATTTATACCCTTTATTTACAAATTAAACATGGAAAATATTTCAGAGCTATTTTGGAATGATTTTGCGGTAATAAAAAGCGACGCTATCACAGTTTTTTTTTCAGATAAAATTATTATTATTTTTTTTTGTAGCTTAGCGCTGTTTTCCTGCACGGTCCTGACGACATCTATCTATATGAATGGTTAGAGTTTTTGTGCGGAGGCGATAAGCTACAGCCGTTTTTAGTGTATTACGCGCGTAAGTTGTTTTTTCTCAAAATTGAAGAACTTATTAAACTAATTTTTTATTTAATAGAATACTTTGAAAAGTTTCTTTCCACACGCTTCCTAAAGCGAAAAATTGCTACATTTAAAATATATTCAAAACCCGGTGTTCGTCGGTTAGAGTGGAATACATTAGCTGCAGCCATGTGCCACGGAGACGATCCAAACAAGGCGCTAAAACCCAAGCCTAAAATTAAAGAAGTATTCCCTGACCTAGTATCACCCAATCTTCAATTGAATCGTGCTGGCATTATTCGATTCAAATTTGCCGGATGTCGGCCAGTAATATTGAAATCCAAAGTAGCGGAGAAGAATCATAATTTAGGGCCTAATACACATGCTATTCAAAGTGGTCCCAATGATATCCTTATATCCCGCCGAAAATTGTTCAAACCATTAACTAACGAGCGTCGCATTGTACCACTCAGTAGTTATTATTATTTAAGAATATAAATGGGTACTGTCCACTAGGGTTATGACTCATTTTTTACAAAAATTTTACCTATCACCACGTGATAGGCAATACTAAATTAATAATAAAAATGGAGTTTGCGGGTCATTTTGGCAAAAACATCTTCCGCACCAAATGCAATTTCTAAAAACACACAGATTAAAAATTTTTTCTTTTTTATTAAATTAATAATATGTGCTAGTTAAATTAAAATAACAATTATTTAAAGCATGTCAATTCCATTGTTTCCGCAGAAAATGCCATAAAAGTAGTTCAGTACATTTCTGCAAAAATAAACTTATTGATTTACTTGATTATTGTATGATATAAATTTAATATTTAAAGTGCGAGTAGTTTTGCAGAGAGGATAAATGTCCTGGACTAGTTTTATGGCACGTTCAGCGCAAATGTTACTGCGCTGCTGATTTGGCATTTTCGACTCCTCTATAACCCAATGCCTTAGGCACTCCGCACATTAAGCTCCTAATCATAGTAATGTAATCGTTTCGGCATACTAAAGTATAAAGCTTTTATGCCGAACACATGTATTTCAATGAAGCTCTGTACATTACGATTCAAAATCTTGTTTTCGCCTAATCATAAAAGCTTCATGAATCGAAGCGCCCAACATTGTCAGGCGCTAGGCTTTTTGAAATAGTATTTTGTTTTCATTTTACATACATACATATGTTCTCGTATTCAAGTTTTGAAAATACATTTGTCATTGAAAAAATAAAAAATAATAAATAAACATGAACAATTTAGTGGCTAAATTTGTACTGATCGTGGAGAAGTATCCGTGCCTTTACAACAATACTCTGCAGGACTATTCAAGAAAGGATGTAACGGAGAAGGCTTGGGCAGCAATATCAGAACAAATAAATTGGTCAGGTATGTCGTGCCACGGTCATAATATAACATTATAAGGTCGCATAAATGTCCGCTATTTTAAGTTCTTATATGCTTCTCAATCTCATAAACCCTTTAAAAAGCAACAGTCTCAAAAAGAGGCCACCATACGAGCAATATGGGATAGGCGATGGCAGTTATGTTTAAAAAAAATTAACAATAAAGCATAAGATTAAAAAATAAAGAAACAATGCCCTTTATTTTGATTAGGGCAAGTTTAATGTTGATGTTGTTGAGGAGTTCAGCTAATGCTTCAAGGATCTTTGCTTAAATAAAGGTTTCTCTACCGACGTCATAGTTTTAGAGGAATTCGTTCAATGTCCTATTTGATAACACTAGAATCGGAGGATCATTCAATAGTGATGACTATATTGAGTCGGAAAGTCATAATGGACAGCAAAATTCCCTAATTTCAAAAGTAGCTTGGATCTACATATGACAGTAAAATAGGGTCCTAGTTAGCATTACATGTGCTAAGGGGCCAGATTAGTATTAAAACAGTGAAAATTATTTAGGATGTTTTGCATATGGTAATATGCGAGTATGGTATATAATACAAAGGTTGAAGAGTTGAACTTCTCAATTTTGAGTTGATATCCTTACGCTATTTCAAGTGACTAGAGCAGTATTTTAGCTAATTAAATCAATTAAGAGGGTAATTATGCGCTTTACTAGTTACAAAAACAACAAATAGCTTAGGGCCAAAGTGCTGCAATAACAACAGCGAAATCATAAAAACGCCAATATAATAAAAAAAATAGCAATCGGTTCATTAAGCAATAAATGAGTATTTATTTTATTTTAAATGCAATAAGTCCATTGCCATGGTAAAGCGGAATTCGGACGTAAGAAATAATTTGCGAGGTAGTTCCTTAAAGCTTGCGCAGTGGAGCTACTATAATACTGGACGGCATTGGTATATTTGCAGATTGATAGTGGGTGTTTTCCCGAACTTGTGTAGTACTCGTATATAATGTGCCGTCTTTTTTGCGTATGAAGTTATGCAAAATGCATGCACACTGCACTATTGAAATAATTGTGTCGTAATTTTTGCAGCGAATTGGTGACATAAACACTTGAAACTTTTGGGTCACCATGCCGAAAGTGCACTCAATATTTTTTCGCGCTCGACTCAGCCTGTAGTTGAATATGCGCATTTTATTGTCTATACCTCGCTCTGGATATGGCCGCATTATATTCTTCCTAATTGGAAACGCAGCGTCTGCTACAAAGTAAAACGGAAATTTGGTTCCGCTCTCGTCGTGGGGTAGTTCTTTGGGTAGTGGTACTTCAGAGCTTCTTTCCAACCATAGCTGCAGCTGTGAAACTCTAAATACGCCTCCATCGCTGTTTCGTCCAGCAAACCCGGTCTCAATAGTTGTAAAAAATCCGTCCGCATCGCTACTGGCAAGTAAGATTATAGAATGATAGTTCTTGTAATTGTAATTAGCCGATCCAGACTTCGGATACTTTTCAATGCGGATATGTTTACCATATATTGCACCTAAACAATTGGGCATTTGCCATAACTCATAAAAGCGATTCGAAATTCGAGTCCATTCATCGCGATTCGGCATTTCCATATATGTTCCATTGAGTATATCCCAAATTTTTTTGGTCGTTTCTTCAACAACGAGACCAATTGTGCGTTCGCCCCGCTGAAAATACAGCGCTAGTGCGGTATATGTACATCCGGTTGCTAAATATCTACAATGAATATACATATGTATATTGTTTTGTCACCAAAACTAGTAGCTCAGTAAGGGAAATCTGGAGGTTTTTGCATGGTAGTTGTTTTTGAATTATTTGTGGGACCTAACCAGATGTGGAATTACCGACATCTTTAAAAAGGGTTCGGTTTTTTAAAAAGAGTGAAACCAAAATTTAAGGGCCTCAACTAAACTATTCCTAAACAATAGTACCCATCGTGGCAATCAAATCTTAAGGGTATTTGCAATAAAGTTGTCACCATGCAAAAATTTGCCAGATTACCATGTTTAAACTTCTGTGACTGAACAATTACTTTATTACGTTTTCATTCTTTTATAGTCGCTGATTGCAAAGACAAATGGAAAAATGTCCGAAATAATTTCGTTCGAAGTTTAAAAGAACCTCCAAGTGGTTCATCAGCAAAAGCCAAGAAGCCGTATTACCTGCATGACATTTTGGAGTTTGTGCTACCTTATGTAAGAACCGTACAGCATTCAGAGAAGAACAACAGCAATATTTTGCTGTCCGATATGGATATATCGACGGAAATTGAAGAAACAGATACTGAACAAAATACTTCCAATTCGGTTTTCCAACCAGCAAAACGCAATCTTCCTACGGAATGTACAAGTAACCTAAGAAAGAAAAAAAAGGCAGGTAATGGAGAGGAAGAAATTGCTGGTGCTGTTTTACAAATTGTAAAAGAAAGGCAAGATAAAAAGGGACCTTATGAAGGTCGTCGATTGTTTTTAATGAGTCTGCTATCAGATGTGGAGAAGATGACGGAAGAAGACTACACGGAATTTAGAATTTACTGCCTTACAGGAATTCAAAAATTTATGAGAAATTCTACAAACAATTTTAATTTGATCTCATCAAGCAGCGGTTCCGTGGTTAGTACACCTGCATCTTCGCCAAATGAAATAAAATTATTTCCAAATAGTACCCATATTTTATGTCCATCGAGCAGCAATAGTTTGGCCAGTAGACCTGCTATTTCGCAAAATGATGTATCCTTCAATCAACCATCAATAATAGGTGCGTTCGTTTAAAATCTCCAGCAGAAACCAACCAACTGCCAGATTTCGGCGAAATGTCATCTGTTCTCTCACAAGAGAGAAATATCCAAAATAGTACGCGAACAGAAATAGTCTGTTCCTTTGAACTTCGGACTAAAACCTGTGGAACTGTCAAACTACAATTTTATTCTCTCAAATGAGAGTAAAAGGAGAACAGATGCAGAAGTGCATAGGAACGCAAAAAGCACTATTTCCTGTAAAAACGTCAGTCGGTTTGTTTACATGTCATTTTTACAACACTGATTTAGCTGAAATATCACTAAATAATTATTAAAATCTATACATATTCAAACATTTCGTTGTTTACTTCCATTTTTTTTACAAACATAAGGTACTTTGCTTTCACCGCTGTTAGTTTTTGCTTGCACATGCAAATCAGCTGATCGTTTGACACTTTTCATGAACTTACAGGAAAAGAAACTCCGGACTAAATCCTGTNACTAATAACAGTGACCAAAATTTTAACCAAAATGTAACAGTCGTATTTGAAAATAACCAATGATTTACATTCACATGTGCATGATCATGTATGTATACGTATGTAGTTATATTAATAAATGTAAATTGATTTCAAAATTTTACCTAAGCGTTATCATTAGTCGCTCTTCAGGGCTAATACATTCTCTGAACCTTGTATTTTGTCTTTGAAGAGCCGGACCCACAAGCGAAACCAAAGAGTTGAAGGTGTTCTTAGACATCCTGTAGCAAGACTGAAATTTTTCGTCGTCTTCAGAGAGCTCCTTCGCAGCAATGAATAGTCGGTTCTGACTATTATTCCTTATATACGGATGAACCCAATATTTCCTACGCCTCTTCATTTTACGACGCCGAAGATGAAGAGCTAGGAGCATAAGGGCATCGTCCTCGTCGCTAGATGTGAACATCATGAAATTGTATTTTTTTTATGTGTTTTTGTCACATTCGCCAAACAAATTTTCACTGAATAACAGGAAAAATGTCAGTAAACTAAAATCAATTTTTTGATTTCATTTATGTACGGCGCCAAGTGTGCAGAAGTCGAGTCGTCATGCATTCGTTTCGGCATGACGGAACAATTACTCTTCTATGACTAGGCGCTTAATGTGCGGAGTGCCTTAGAAAACACTCTTTAGCTTTTTTAAATTGTGACAAAGATAAATTTAATAATTTAAAATTGTCTTCGCGGAAACAATGGTCCGAAAACCATACGTCGTACCATGCACCACATATAAATTGACATACTTTATATAGTTCTGCTCGGTATTTTGGAATCAGTATAAATGCTAATATTGCCAGAATTGCTCCAGAATTCCACCGAGCGTTGCTTATTGGAGGTATAGGTAGGTAGGAGGTATAGTTTTGAAATTAATGAAGGGAAATTTTTCATGTGTTTCGTAGTGTCTGAAAACTTTTCCAAGCTCATACAGGAACTGCATATCATCTCTCCATTTAATATTTACAGCTTTAATACTTTCTTCATTTTGTTTATAGTTGTTTTTTAATTGTTCATAATTAATTATTAGTTCTGAGACAAAACTGTAACATATATTTGGCGATGATGATTTTCCATCATTTGACGATTTTTCATCAACAACTCGTCCATAACATGTCTTAAAAGCAAGTCTAAAACATGATGCTGGCAACCAATATACTGTGGAGGAGGAAGTGACATTGCCTTGTAATGGTTCTTTAGCAAAGCAATAACTCCGTTTGTTTTTCCTATGTTAACGTTAGTTGTGTCAGTAATTATCATTTTAATTGATTTCCACAAATCATATTTGTCTAAAGTTTCCTTTATGCCATTAAATATATATATATATATACTTTGTTTAAAAATTCAGAGAACTGTTTTAATTAAACTAAAAAAATATAGGCGAAATTTCAACTCGTTTTGTGCGGGAACTTTTTTGACAGCAGCGAAAAAGTAAGATTGCGTTTCGTAATATTTTTTTATGGCCTTTTTGGCTAGGGCACGTAAAATTTGATATTTAAAAAAAAAATCAAAAAGTAATAACCCTACTGTCCACACATTATTTTAACGAGAGTGTCTAATTACACGCGCCTCGGTAACTTTTATCGTAGATCCACGGTAAAAATACCGCCGCCTACGCAGAAAGAAGTTCTGTCCAATTCTGAGTAGTAAGGGTTATAATCCCTAAGTTCTGTCCTACTTCTCCGGCAACGCAGAAAGTAGAATTCTGAGTAGTAAGGGTTATAATCCCTAAGCGCGGCCGAAGGCCGCCTACGCAGAAAGAAGTTACGCCGTTCTCCGGCAACACAGAAACGAGAACTCTGCGTAGTAAGGATTATAATCCCTAAGCGTGACCGAAGGCCGCCTACGCAGAAAAAAGTTCCGCCCCACTTCTCCGGCAACAAAGAAAGGAGAATTCTGCGTAATAAGGGTTATAATCACTAAGCGCGGCCGAGGGCCGCCTACGCAGAAAAAAGTTCCGCCCCACTTCTCCGGCAACACAGAAAGGAGAATTCTGCGTAGTAAGGGTTATAATCCCTAAGCGCGGTAAAAATTACCGTGGATCCACGGTAAAAACCTTAGATCTGCGGTATTTTTACCGCGGATATACGGGAATTTTTGCCGTGTATCTACGGTAATTTTTACCGTGGATCTACGGTAATTTTCACCGTGGATCTACGGTATTTTTTTACCATGGATTTACGGTATTTTTTACCGTGGATCTACGGTATTTTTTTTTACCATGGATCTACGGTAAAAGTTACCGTGGCGCGTGTGTGTAGATACTGCTTGTTTTAGCACCTACTTTTGTAATCTTTGGCCACTAATTTATTTAGAAATTCGGTTTGAAATATGCTCTTTTTTGTAAAATTCGGAAATTAGCGTAGATTTATCACTCCTATTCTCCATAAAGCAGCCACTTTACCAAAACATTTTTATATCCCTCTTCCCTTTACACTTCTTTGGATTAGTTATAACTTTCTTTGTTACTTTAATTGTAACCAATTAATCACAATTTATTAAATAAAAAAACCTTCAAAATCACGCGTCTACCTTTGGTTGCATATGCAAATTAAATGGTGGCGTTCAGCTGGCAAACTCCAAAATATACAAGAATGAGAAACATAAGGAAATATGATATAACCATATAAGCATTAAAAATATAAATCTTTCGATGGAAAATATGTATTCGAAGGCCGCCTACGCAGAAAGGTGTTCTCTTTTCCCTGATACGGGGATCTCCGGGATCGGCTTGACGAAGGCTGTCACGCTCATCGGTTAGAACAGCCGCTTCAGCAGGGAAATTTGGACGTGGGTCCGTTATGCATCCTGTCGGTATGAAGTGAGCTGCAGCAGCGGCGACAACCCTGCGGTACTCACGTTCACCAAGGTGGACGTCGGTTGGTGTAGGGAGCGCAGAGAAGGTGCTTTCAGTAAATTCCACCAAGCCTTTACAATCAGCTTTAGAAAAGTTGATATTGGTCCGGTGTTCCGCGGAAGCACAGTCGGTTGGTTTATCGATCGAGATGACTATGGGCAGATGGTCTGATGCCAAAGTCAGCATAGGTCGCCATGATATGCTGTTTATCAGACCAGCGGTGACTATTGTTATGTCCGGCGAGCTGCAGCACCTGCCCATAATCCTGGTGGGTGCGTCGTCGTTCATTGTGCAGAATGTCGTATCGTCTATCTCCTCAGCCAAGTCAGTTCCCCTACAATCATTTGACAGGCTTGAGTGCCAAAGATCGTGGTGCGCATTAAAGTCACATACTACCATACGGTTTTCACCTCTGAGGAGCGCACCTATATCAGGGTGATATCCTGCCGGGCAGCAGGTGACAGGGGGTATGTCCTCTTTAAATATTTCGGGCTCAACGTCGCCTGACCGGATAGCAATGCCATTGGCTGTGTGCGCTGCTGTGGTGGTTGCCGCCCTGTGGTGGTAGTGGGTGGCGTCGTAGTTGGGGTTTGCGACCGTGCAGCGTAACACGGGCCCTCGAAGTTCCTCGTCCAATCTTGCGTGGTGCGCAGACCTGAACATGCTCTAAAGTGGCACCAGCCAAGGCAGGTGTTGCACTTGACTGACGTCACATTACGGAATATCCTGGTCTGGCATACCGTGCACATTGTAGGAGGAACAAAGGCCCCTATTGTGAGTGTCGACTGGCAGTAGAATAGAAATTTGTCGATCGAGTCGATCATCTTTTATTTTGCTATTGTGTAACTTGATCGATAAAAATTTGTACTATTGTGAATGGTTGACAGAATTGTAAACAGCTGTTTGTTTGTTTACATTTGTTTCTTGAGTGTTTTATTTACATCATTTTTTAAATAATTGCTTTTATTATAAAATTAAAAAAATGGACACAGTTGGAATATGGTTTAGTGATGAGGAAGATGATGCGGAAGCTAACAGATTAGTAGAGTTGGCTAAAGCAAGGAGGGAATTGCGAGATTCGTCGGATCCCTTGGACTTGGAAGGTGTATGTACATGTGTGAGTTTTATGAATAGAAGTTGCGTTCCCGATGCTTCACAGTTTTTAGGCTTTACATGATTTGCAGGAAAAGCTGTTTTCCTCATTAATAAACTTTATGGAAGTTTAAGAAATACGGTACGGTTAAGTTTTTTGTACAATGATGTTGGGTTTTTGTGTCCAAACGCGTGACCCGAGTTTAAAAACTTTAACATAACAACATAACAAGTGTATTGAAAGAATTCAACTTTAATTTAAAATAAAGATTTCATAAAGATTTTTTTGTATAAACTTTTGGATGTTGGTTCTGCGCAAAAACACTGTGGATGGCGTAGCCGGAGTTATATGCACAAGAAATATTGTATATGTATCTTTTCCAATAGAAGCGGAGCTTCCTACCCTACTCTTTCCGGAAATTCCTTTGCCTATGTCTTCACTCTCCTGCATCAGTACGAACAACCGCGCAAGTTGCCTTTTGTTGCTTATAATTTTTGATCTGTAATTCAGACACATACATGCATATGTATATTTCACAATTTTTTACAACTTCCAGTTCAATTGACTTACTTTTTATCCATTATAGTACCACTTTCTTATGTAAATTTTATAAACGCAAACTCCAACGACTAAAAAACAGCAATAGAAGGATGAGCGATTAAAAAGTATTCACAGTCGCTAAT